TCTAGGCCCGAAACGTCAGCCTCTCTGCTCCTATGATGCTGCTTGGCCTGCTGTGTTCATCCAGCCCTGCACCTTGTTGTCTTGGGTAAGGAATCTCCTGTTTTCCATCAATAACCACATTTCCATGTTGAACTCTGCTTAAAGGAAGCACTGAGGGTGGCAGTGGATGGAGATTTCGATGTCCATTACCAAGAGTGGTTGAGCAGCAGTGAGCTGGTTGAGTTGTAAAGGACTTGGGCCAGTGGTAGGTGGTGAAGGAACCAACAAGTTGGAAAAACATACCTTATGTCACTCATACCAATCTGCCTACCACAGATGTAACTGTCTGTGATGGTATTGGTAAGAGAAACAATCTTTGTGAGGATGAAGTCCCACCTTCATGTTTGAGGACGCTCTCTGTCATGTGTGGCACTATGCTAAACGGGATAGATTTCAAACAGATTTAGCAACTCAATCTGCGCATCCAGGAAATGTGGGCCATCAGAGGCAGCAGAAGTGTACTGTAACATAGTCTGCCTGACATATACTCCACTTTACTATTACCGACAAACCAGTGGATCAACCCTGACAGAAAAAAGTACTGATGGGGAATGCCAGACACAAGACCATGCATACCTAAAATTTCACTCCGATGAAACTGCAACACATGACATATTCAAGTGCCAAACAAGTGATGAGCGAGGCTGAGTGATTTAACCAGCAAAGTTTCAGATCTAAGCTTTGCAGCCCTGCTATCTCTCCAGTCATCACGCTTGTGATGCTAAGGAATGCAAGGCCATGGGTCAAGTGCTGGAAAATGGGATCAGAATAGTTAGGTGGTTGTTTTTGACTGGCAGGAACACAATAGGCCAAAGGGCCTTTTCCCATGTGGTAGATCTCTATGAATGGTAGTGAGCAATCAAGCAATTTATTGGAGGAGGCATCACAAATGTTCCCATCCTCAGTGACTGGCAACACTGTTGTTTGGAGTCATGTTCGGTACAAAGGCTGATGGATATGGTTGTTGAAGGCCAATCATGTCACCTCCAGGACATCGTTACAAGTGTTTCTCTGGATAACGTGCTATGCACAACCATCTTCAGCTGCTTTATCAATCACCTTCCCACCATCATATGGTCTGAGTCTGATACCCATGATAACTGCATAATTTTCAACACCCTTTGTGACAACCAAGGTACTGAAGCAATCTGTGTCCAAATGCAGCAAGACCTGAACAATATCCAAGCTTGGGCTGATAAGTGACAAGTAACATTTCCTTCTCCATGCTAGGCAATTACCATCTCCAAGAGGAAAGGATCTAACCATTGCTACTTGACATTCAATGGTATTACCATCACTGAATCCTCCACTATCATCATCCTAAGGTTACCATTGACCAGGATCCAAACTGGACTAGCAATATAGATTCCGTGGCTACAAGAGAAGGAAAGACGTTAAGAATCCTGCAGCGAGTAACTTATCACCTGACTCACCAAAGCCTGTACATCACCTACAAGGCACAAGTCAGGAAACTAATTGAATGCCATTAACTTGCCTGGATGACTGCAGCTTCATCAACACTTGAGAAGCTTGACACAATCCAGGCCAAAGTAGCTGCTTGAATGGCATCACATCCACAAATATTCAATCCCTCCATCACTGATGTAGAGTGGTAGAAGTGTGTATCGTTTGCAAGCTGCACTGCAGAAATTCACCAAGGTTTCTTAGACAGCTCCTTTCAAACCTATGACTACTACCAAAGCAAAGGCCAAGGAAAGCAGATGTATGAAAGCGCACAAGTTCTACAAATTCCTCCTCCAGCCACTCACCATCTTGATTTGGAAATATATCAATGTTCCTTCAATGTCACTGGGTCAAAATTCTGGAATTCCCTCCCTAACAGCATTATAGATGTCAAATGGATTTCAGAGGTTTGAGAAGACAGTTCACTACCAACACCATCTCAAATTCAGTTAAGTCACGCCCTCGAAACCCACAGAACATGAATGTTTTTGTTTAAGAAAAGCATCAACCCTCGACTGACCTATACCACACTCCCTTGACCATCACGCAGGATAATCTGGTTCATTGAAAAGTGCAGGAAGGCATGCTGAGAACAGCACAACTAATACTGAGGTGTCAATCTGTTAGAACTACAACGCAGAACTACTTTCATGCCAAATAGTAGAAGCAGCATGCAAAAAGAGGCCTGAGTGATTCCACAACCAGGGAGTTGGATCTAAACTCCTGCCAAGCCCAGCAAATCAGCTGAGAAGAGAAGTAAAAACTGAAAGAACTGCGGATGCTGTAAATCAGGAACAAAAACAGAAGTTGCTGGAAAAGCTCAGCAGGTCTTGCAGCATCTGTGAGGAAAATATCAGAGTTAACGTTTTGGGTCCTGTAACCCTCAGAACTGCAGTTCTGAGGAAGGGTCACCGGGCTTAAAACATTAACTCTGATATTTTCCTCACAGTTGCTGCCAGACCTGCTGAGCTTTTCCAGCAACTGGTGAGAAGAGAAGTAACTTGCCCCTGACTCCCCAAAACCTATTCACCATCTACAAGGCACAAGTTTAGGACTCTGATGAAATTCTCTCCTCATGGCCAATGCTATTCCAAGACAAAACTCGATTGTTAACCCATCTACCACCTTAAACGTTTGCTCCCTCCACCACTGATACAGTGACAGCAGTATGTACCATCTACAACTTGCACTGTAATAAGTCACTGTAGTAACATTTTCAATAGTACCTGCAACCTCTTCCAGCTAGAGGTACAAGGACAACATGGATTGGAATACTGCCACCCCCAAGTTCCCCTCTAAACCTTGCAGCATCCTGACTTGGAGCTATATCTCTGCCTTTTGCCGAGTCAAAATTCTGGAGCTCCTTTCCTAACAGCACTGTGGATCAACGTTTCCCCCAATTACGTCTTCTGCTGCACAGATCTGTGAGGTACGTGTGTGGCTCAGAAGCAAATGCATCACACTCCAGTCTATTGCACGGAACCTCTGAGCATCAGTGCAGCCGTGCAATTTAGAGGGATCACTGCTGTTGATGCATCTACAACATGTGGACTACACTAGTTCAAGGTGACAAATCACCACCTTCTTCTCGAGCAGTTAGGGATGGGCAAAAAAATGCCAGTAACAGCTGCAACCCATGAGTGAATATATTTCAAAGCAGTGTCGCAACTAGATCCAAATATACCAGGTTATCAGATCAACAAGAAAGGCAGGGAGAAGGAAAAGTCTTACTGATTAAGGATGAAATCATTTCAGTAACCAGGGAGGATGTAACGAGAGGCAAATGGTGAAAATTTTACAGTGCAAAGTAAAAATTAAGATTTATGACTGTGATGAGTGTTGTGCATCAGGCCCTTAGCAGTCTCTGTTCAGTAATTTGTATAAATGCTGGAATTAGACAAGATTTAACAAAGGCATATCCATTTTAATGTGGGGGCTAAAAATGAGTTTTCAAACATCGGCATAAGCAGTCTAACACACGTCAGAAGGGACAAAAGATTCAGTCACGGAATGACGGTGTCACTGACCACGCCAGCATTTATTGCCCATCCCTAATTGCCTAGAAGGCAGTTAAGAGTCAATCATATTGCTGTCATTCTAGAGTCACGTATAGGCCAGACCAAGTAAGGATGGCAGTTTCCTTCCCTAAAGGATATTAGTAAACCAGATGGGTTTTTCCAACAATTGACAACAACATTAGACTCTCAATTCAGATATTTATTGAATATTCGAACCCGGGTCCCTAGATCTTTAGCTGGGTCTCTGGGTTAACAGTCCAGCAATAATAGTACTAGGCCATTGCCTTTTATCTGTGCCATAAAGAGCACATTAATAACCAAAGAGGTAAGCCACAATAAAACTAAAAGAAAAAAAACATATAAACATTCAAAAGAGATCTGTTATTTTTGTTATATTCTCTCTCTCTTCCTGTGGAGAATCTACCCATGATGCTGGGATCATCTCTCCAAATCAGCCGAGCTGCTACACACCATTACAATTGTGCAATCTCTTGAAACTTCAGAACTATCTCTAAATGCAATAATTATGTTGCACTCTCGTAGCTCTTGATAAAGAACAATGAATTTCCATATGACAGTTTCACACTTGGTGATTAAACTGTTATACCAGTTTAATCTATCATAAAAGCACCTGGCATTAATCCCTGACACTAAGCCAACCCTATATTCGGGTTGTACAAACTGCCATTACTTTTGTGGTCTACAACTGACTGGAAATACATTTACCATATCCGTCAGGTTCAAATGAAAACCAAACCAAACTTCATGCGATCTTAATTTTAAACAAATGTTGCAATAGCTTGTGTTTTAAGTTGACTCAAACAACTACGATAAGTTAAAACCTTTTGTGAATTGAAGAGCTGTGTACCTTAAGAACAGCAGCAAGCTGCTCAGCTCCTTATGCCTGTTCTGCCATTCAGCTAAATTACGATTTATTTGTTGACAAACTTGATATATTCTGAATAAGTCTATTTCATTAATTTGAAATGATCCCAAATCCAGGCAGCAATGCTCGTGGACTGACAGATTTAGTAATTGGTTACCTGCATTCATTGAGAAACATTCCTGAGACAGAACAGTGAACAGGATGACATGGACTACTTTTCAGCTGTCTTCCAAAACATGGGGTGATCTTCCCTTTGATGTTTGAAATTACAACTCATACCAATTTACTTTTTATCAGAATAAAGTAACTTTTATACTTTGATATTCATCAGAAGCGCTGTTAGTTACTTCCGAGGGTTCTTCCATTTATCGTGTACTCCATTGTCTTTAGTCCTCCCAAAATGCATTTTCAGGATTAAATTCCATTTGCCATTGTTCTACCAATTTGACTAGCCGGTTTATACCGTGCTGAGATCTAAGGCTTTCCTCCTCACTGTTTACCACATGATCATTTTTTTGTGTCATCTGTGAACTTACTGAAGAGATCTCCTCCTACATTCTAGATCATTAATGTACACTACTAACAGCAGGAGACCTAGCACCAAACCCTGCGCTGCACCACTTTACACAAACTCCCAATCACAAAAATGACCATCCTGTACCTCCTTCCATTAATCTAGTTTTGGATCCAATTTGCCAAATTGCTGTGGATCTCATAGGCTCTTACTTTCTTTACAGTCTCCCATGCAAGATCTTGTCAGAAGCCTTACCAAAGTCCAAGTAGTCGATATCCAGGCATTGCCCTCATCCATACTTATAGTTACTCCTCTCAAACATCAATCAAACCTGTCAGCCATGATATTCTCATCACAAAGCCATGCTGATAGCCCTTGACTCTCCAACTGGAGATTAATTCTGTCCCTCAGAATTTTTTTCCAGTAGTCCTCCTGTCACTGATGTTTGGACTTACTGGCCTATAGATCCTTGATTTAGCCCTACCTCTTCCCTTGAACATTGGTACCATATTAGTTGTCTTTCAGTCCTCTGGGACCCTCCTGTCTCCAGAGAGGATTCAAAAATTCATGTCAGAGCCCCAGCAATTTACTTCCTTACCTCCCACAGCAGCCAGAAATTCATCTCATCTAGGCTTGGGGACTTTCCTAATTTAAGATCACTGACACTTCCCCTCCCAATTGTGATTTGCTCAAGTACGTCACTGTCTTCCAATATTTCTATATCTTCATCTTTCTTCTCTATTGTGAATACAGTAAAGTGCTCATTTAAAACCTCACCTATAAATTCTGGCTGCTCCCACAGTTTACCACTTAAATCCCTAACGGATCCCATTCTTTGCTGGTTATTTTCTTGCCATAATGTACTCATAAAATGCATTGGATTTTCCTATGTTTTATTTGCCAGTGCTTTATCATGCTCTTTCTTTGGTTTCTTAATAACCCCTTGCACGTCCTGTACTCCTCTAGGGCAATTGCTGTTTTAAGCTTTCTTTATTTCCTTATCCAATCCTTTACATTCCTCAATATCCAGGGTTCTCGAGAATGTTACCTTCCACTCCTCACCTTTTACAGGAATGTATTGGCCCTGCACTTTCATTATTTCCTTTTTGAACGATTCCTACTGCTTTGATGTAGATTTTGTTACAAATAGCTGCTTCCTGTCCATTTTGGTTAGATTCATGTTCTTCCTGAAGGCAACTCTCTTCCTACATACCATCCTCCCCTCCCCGACACAAAATAAAAGACTTCTGCAATCTTAATATCTATTGTATTTCTATCTTTCTTCAGTTCTTATGAAAGGTCATAGACCTGAAATGTTAACTCCACAAATGCTGCCTAATCTAGTGGGTATTTCTGTTTTTATTTCAGATTTCCATTCCTCACACTAGTTTGCTTTCTATTATGTTGCTATTACTTCTAACTATATTGTAATCTTGTCAGTACATATTTATCAAGCAGTCCAATGAAAACTAAAATTGTCTTATGCTTTGCATTTATGTCCAAATTTAAGCACAAACATCACCCATGTGCTTCTGACTGAATAGATTAGTGGTTGTTCATCTGTGTTTTCAGCTGTTTGGATATTAATTACAAGTAATTTGACTTTTTTCTCCACTTCACCCTTAGCATTCAATAAGTGGACACAGCTCAGATTGAAAGGGATAGTGGAAAAGTTTCTGAGTGTCTGACCTGCAGAATTTTCCCAGTACTTGGATTCCTTTTGGGGAAGAACATGATGTAACTGGCAGTGGGAAATCTGAGATTCACTTTATGCTCCAGAGCCCTCAGCTGTTGGAAGTTTATCACTTTACTGCCTTATGCCAGCTCTGAAATGGCTTCAGGATCCTGCCATCGCTGAACTAATTTCAATTCCAGAGTCAGCTGCTGCACATTTTTCAAAATAGCTCATTTTAGGCTTCAACCTAATCATTTTCAGCAATTAATAATTCTACTGAAATAACATTCGAGGATCACCAATATGTGTGATCAAGTTACCTGACTGATGTGATCAGTACTATTCACTGTAAGCATTATGTTGCACTAAAATTCTATATTATTTTGGTTTGGTCTTTCATTATTTTCAATGAAATAGACCAAATACAACAAACCATCATAAATTATGAAGTGTTCCTGAACATTTGATTTTTATAGATTTATGCCTGATTTGTAAAGGTCTGTATTTGAGCTGCATAGAGGGAGAATTGCACAATTGTGCAGATGATTGACAGACATGTGTTTATATTCCTGAGTATTGATGCACATCACAGCTTGCAATTGTTACTTTCTGTGATGCAAGTTTATTGAAGGAAATTTTTAAAAATCATTTTTATTTAGCTGAAACTAGAAACCGATTAGGCAAAATTGTTCATTTCATTCTTGACAATAAAACCAAACAAAATGTTTTGCAAGGAGTTAAGGGATGGTTTTCTTTTGCCATTAACTACTTTGGGAATGCAGAATGTCCCAAAGTTCAGTGCAGGTAGCAGGTTGCAATTTCTGCTGCCAATGACAATTGGAATATGTTAAACAACAGTGTTCCAATAGTAACACACCCTTAACACTGCAAGCTCTTGTGACCTGGCACATGCTATTAGATGAGAAGCATTAGTGCAGATATTCCAATCTTTTGATATGTGCAACCCTTAAGTTTTAAATACATTTCTTTCCAATAATGACGGTAGATTTGTAAGTTAATGCAATGAGTCATTATAATCAATTTTAATGACCTGAAGAATTGTGTAAATATTAAATATGTACAATAAGGTATTAATCCATTTGCTTAAAAAACCTCCTGGCATGCTGCAGCTGTGGATGATCCTCTCACCAGCTCATGCATAAATGACATTGTTGTATTTTCAGATTTTTACGCAACAAAGTGGCTTATTTGATTTTGAACTAAGATTAAACTGACCTTGAAGGCAGATTGCTTCTGCCTCGTGTTTCCTATCCCTTAAGAACATCCTCTATTGACAGATGTCTTCACCTGTTCATTAACCCTTCCTAAGCCTCTCACCTATTGGATGGGCTGCACACAGAACTAAGAACTAATGATTAATACTTCTTGAGCCACTAGGTGGGTTGTGGGTGAATTTTTGATCCAGAATAAATTGGACTCACCTCTTCAGCCCATTGAAGGAAGGTGGATCTCACTTAGGACAAGGATGTTCTAAGGGTCTATATCATTTTCCTTTCGTTATAAAGTGTCAGTAATATTTCATTGATAACACCCCTATCAAATAGACAATCATGGCTTCTTCTTTAAGTTGCACATAGTTTATAGCCATTTCTCCCCACCCCCCTCACCCTCCAAGACTAAATATCTAGGCATGAGGATACCCAAATATGAATATATAATGTGCTATAGAAGATCATAGAATCCCTACAGTGTGGGAGCAGGCCATTCAGCCCATCGAGAGCACACCGACCCTCTGAAGAGCATCTCACCCATCCGAAGACCCATCCTCCTACCATTTGAGAAAATATTTTAATAGCTTAAATGGGCTTGAAATGGATATGTCAATAATTTGGTTTAATCAACAGCTTTAATGCGTTTGGTGGAAGATCTCCAATTTAATTATATACAAATAGATATGTAATATCCCAGGGAGCTATGAAAATGACTAATTTTCAGTAAAATTGGTTAATGTGTGATAAAAAGTGCTATTGTTACACAGATTATTATAATTGCTTACTGCATGATCCAGAGACTTGTAACCTGTGTTCTGTTCAGCTCAGTTTTGTCTCAGAGTCGAGTTGCTTCTTAATGCAACTCAAAGCAGGTGATAAACTTTATCCAGAAGTTGTACAAATCAAGTCTGCTCTTAATTAAAATTACAATAATTGTTTTAGTTTTTTGTTTACACTGCTTACTTCAAATTATTGCGAAAAAATGCTTTAGCATATAAAGCAACTCTGAATTATTAAGAGCAGACTCTATGTACAAATTTGTTAAATAATTTGATGTTCATTATATTAGCACTATGTTTCCCTTTTATGTCTGCAGCCTTGCATTGTTTTGTATTCAATTTTTACCTAAGATTCGAGTTCCACCTCAGGACTGATATTCGAAATTTTGCCCTTCATTCTACTTCACTTCTATCTCTTCCATCCTTAGTGATTTTTCTGAAGTTTCCTGTCACTTGGCTTTACAAGGTCCTAACACAACTCACTGTGGGAGCAAAACTGTGTGTTGCTGAAATAGACTGCATTCACATCAACCTCCCTGGCCAAACTTTACACAAGACAATTTGGGCTCTAAGTGATCAAACTACTAATATTAAACATAGGAGCTCATTAAGAGATGAAAAGAATCAACAAAAGCAAATTGAGGTAGCAGAATCAGTTCAGCTACTGACTCTATGCTGGTGCATGTTATATAATGTCTGTAACTTTCAAGTCATGCCTTGTCTTATTAGACTGAAATAAATGGATCAATTTATACATTAAATCATTTGCAATAAAAGTAAATGGATCAATGAAATTTGAGGAAAGGTGTTTATTTGAGAAATTGTATTTTTGTTGCTTATGATTTGTGATCCTTTCTCTGCCTTTTTATCACCTTGTGTTTAGTCTATTGATTGTTACTGCCCTGACAAAGTCACATGTTTTAAACCCATCAAATAATTTTATTCCTTCAATGTCTAATCACCCAAATATTTTGAACTTTTATTTTTTTTTATATATTCATTCACAGAATGAGGGCATTTCTGCCTAGGCCAGCATTTATTGCCCATCACTAGCTGCCCAGAGAGCAGTTAAGAGTCACTCACATTGCTGTGGGTCTGGAGTCACGTGTAGGCCAGATCAGGGTAAGGACAGCAGTTTCCTTCCCTAAAGGGCATTTGTGAGCCAGGTAGGTTTTTCCAACAATCAACGATGGATTCATGGTCATCATTCAACTCCTAATTTCAGATCTCCTGAAATGTTAAATTCAAATTCCATCATCTGCTGTGGCATGATTCAAACCAGGTCCCAGAATATTACCTGGGTCTCTAGATTAACAATTCCGCAACAATACCCCTAGGCCATGACCTCCCTGCTTATGTTTGTGGAATTGCTACAAGCATTATTAATACATTTTTTCATTAATTTCATAAGAGGCCTAGTGGCCAGGAGAGGTCAAATGGCCCAGAGACAGGATTGCTGGTACTAAATGATGTATTAGAAACATTTAAGATCTGTTTCTGCAATGCATTTAACAACTGTAGATTCAGTTTTAATGCAGGGTTCTAAATTTCAGATTTCAACTGTTAATCACATCAGTGTTCTTATACAAAATGATATTTGAATCAAAATAGTGGGGTTTTTAACAATTTGAATTTATTATGAAGGTTCATACTATTGTTATTTGGAAATGAGTTCTAAAGTGGAAATGTATAATTAATCTGCATTTTTATATTGTGTGGGCTAGTAAGTGAAGGACTTGGTTTCATTTTTGAGTTCTTTGAGTGGCTTTGAGGTATCTGGAGATCTGTTTTATATGCTTTTAAGCAAGCAATTAAAAAAAAATCCCTTGAGGTGAATAGTTCAGTGCTTTAGAAAAATAGGGGTAGATAAGAGGGGGAAAACAGGACTGTTACCTAGCAATAATCTCCTAGGACACAAGGAGTTGGAAACAGTTTTGATTTTGGAAATAAAACTAATCAGAAGTTCAGTAAGTGTGCAAGTTTCTGTTAGAATCAGATCTGTGAAAGCAAGGGGACTATTATCAATTTACAAAGCAATTTCACAGAAAAAAAAAAATCCTGGTTAATTTAATGTTTGTAAAAGAAAGTTCTAGAAGCAGAAGGCAGTAAAAGAGGAATTTAAAGAACTTGTGTTAAAAAAAATGAGTTGCATTAGTTTGTTTAAGGGTTGCCTGAAGAGACATTAAGATACCACCAAATAAATGTAGACATTTGCCAGGAAGAAACCAACTACAGCCATGTTCTCTGAACAATAATCTTTAAAGTGGAAGCACTGACACTTCAATGCAGATACAGTATCTGTAATGTTGAGGGCAGAAGAGTTGAGTCTTTATTTTTAACATTTGTAATAAAACTTTTTTCATCTAAATTCTTGTGTAGTGAAAAAAATAAACATTTTGTTGTTTTGTTAAAAGTATATTAACAACCTTCTTGTGAATATGTTCAGTGACTGACCATCATGGTAAACAAATTGAAAATATAAATTTATAGAGTGGTATCTTCCCAGCCTTTGAAAGACATGGCAATGACAAGTCAGTTGGGAAAATATGGTGAGATTCACAACTTCAAAGGAAAAATAATCTGATCTGCAGCTAAGTTTTGGAGGGCACAATGAGAATCTTGCGAGTGAGAAGTGAGAGACCTATTTGCATGCCATTAGTAATCTTGCCTCATTGATTTCACTTTCCTATTCTTCCAATTGTCAGATAGAAACCAGACAGCAATAATTTGTGGCATGGAAAAGTAGATACTTAGAGGATCCAACACTGCTTACTCCTCTGGGCCTCCATCTTGATAGAAGATACCTACATCACAGGTTAAAATCCATGGGCATTAAGTGCCCAATAACTGCTCCCAGTCCATGAAGATTGGCATCAGAACATACCAGCCTCATTATGTTATGGCAAACCTACGATCCACCTACAATGCAATTCTCCACTTCAATGTTGTGCTTTGAAGTGCACTGACACCTTTCATTGTATTGCTGCTACCAGGACACTTTGTGTGCAAGAACAAGCATCTACGTCATGCATTGGACCAAAGTACAATTTCTCTTCACACCTGAAACACGGCAGTCTTCTGAGTGCCAGTAATATGGGGTGTTTCTTTCTCAATCATCTGCAGAGATATGGCAATGATGTGCTCACCAGCATATGCTCCTGCTTCCAATCTAGCTATAACAACCACCAAGCTGTCAGTCTGACCTGGTGGAGAGTGTGGGAGCAGCCTTGCCAATACATGGGATCTGTGGCTTTTTCCTCAGAGGTGGAGGAGGAGATGATGCTTTGCAGGGCTACTTTCTTGAGGGCAGAGATTGTACAGATTGCACTGGAACCTGCAGGAAACAAAAGAGGAAATCAGTTGCAACGTAAGTGTAGAGATTAAGACATGTTAAGAATGTATGGGATGAATATAAAAGGAAAACAGCATAGCAATTGACAGTGATTCCCATTTGGTTGCTGGGACATGAGACCACAAGAGTCGTCTTTTGCTAAAACAGGGGTTCTCTCCTCAAAGGGGGTGAGGAGATGAAAGTCAGGTATCCCATCACCTGTAAAAACAAAACAACTGCAGATGCCGGAAAAATAACAAATGAAGAAGGGTCACTGGTCCCAAAATGTCAACTCTGTTTTCTCTCCACAGATGCTACCAGATCTGCTGAGTTTCTCTTGTAATTCTATTTTGTACCCCATCACCTGTCTTGGCTCTTTCTGCCCTACTGTGGGTCATTTTCATCTGGAATGAGGCAAAAGGAGGGATCGTGTGAGTGGTAAGTAGCTGCACTGCTGTTAGTAACGGTGTGTGGGGTAAAAGTAGTGAGGTATCCTGAGTGAGTTAATAGGCAGTACAGAGGTCATCCAGAGTTTTGTGCATGTGCGTATGTATATGTGTGTGTGTAGTAGGTGAGGGGCAAGGAGGATGTTGAAGGCGGGGTGGTGGTAGGATGATTGAGGTGGTTCAGGGTGAATGAAGGAAGATATTACATGCAATATGAGAGGGCCAAAAGTGTGTGCAGTAGCAGAGTTAACTTGAGTGGAAAGTAGCAGAAAGAAGATAGTGGCACATGTTCTCATAGACCCCGGAAGGTCTTTAGCCTTCTTGCAGCACTGCTGAACAATTCTCCAGACCACAGACTCTACACTGACCCAGCTGGCGGTTTCAGATCGGACTGGTAGGGCTGGTGCTGTGGTATTCTCAGTAAGTCCTCAGCAAAGGAGATGGCCATATTCTCTAACACCCTGTCCACCAGATCCTCTAGGTTCCTGTTGATCAGCAGAGAGCTAACTTCCCCATCTCAACTATTTCGGAGGGACACATAGGAATCATGAAGGGCAATTCCTAACAGTTTTTGACCTGGTGCACAGCTATGTTTTCAATATAGTGCATGGACTAGGAATCCTGGGAAGTCCCTGCAGTGGTGACTACTTCCAACACTGACGAGCAGAAGATAACATGAGCTGGTGCAATAATGGCATGGTGTGTAACCGTGGAATATAGCATAACAACACTCACTAGAACTCATGGAAAGAAAACCTCCATGAAACTATCTGAAATTAATACTTAGCTGTTTTCCCGTAAAATTCAACCTGTGGTTTATCACGCAAGGTTTCATTCTGGGTTCCATATTCTTATTCGTCTGGGATCATAACACAGTAACAATTCAACAAAAATAAAATGAGCAAGATTTTTGATTTTTTAACTGATCTGACTATTTCTAATAGCTTGGAAAAAAAGAAGTGATGAGGAGGTCATGTATATTTTTGTAAATGGACAATTAACTGATATACTCCTCAGTGACATCAACTGAAAATATATCAGTTTGTATAAGCTACAACTCCATACTCTAGTACGTCATCACATATTGTGATTCCTCCACTGTCACTAAATTGCCACTTTGCTTCTCCAACAGTCAATGCCGGACTAACAAAAAAATTCCTCCAATTTAATTTTTGCTAGACTGAACCCATTGTTATTAGTCCCTGCCACAAACTATCCCCTCTCCTCACATTCCATGCCTTCCCTCGGCAAATATCTGAGGCTGTACAAGCCTCAAACCTTATCCTGACATGAGCTCTTCATATTCACAGCATCATCCAAATTGAATATTACCACCACTGTTAAATTGTCCAACTCTGGCCCTGCATTAGCTCATTTGCTACTGGAATCCTCACCCATGCCTTTCTTACCTCCAGATATGATTTCTTTAATACATTCCTGGTCACATGCCATGGCTTGCCCTCTGTAAACTTGAAATAATTCAAATGCCTGCAGCCTATGTCCTAACCAGCAGCTAGTTCCATTCTTCCACCAGCCCATGTGCTTACTGGCTTGCATTAATTCTTGATTAAGCAATACTTGGATTTAAATTCTCACCCTTGTTTTGAAATCCCTCTATTACCATATCCATCTGTGATTGTGTGATGTCCTATGACCCTCCAAGTTATTTCTACTCCTTTAATTTTGGCATCTTGAGCATCTTCAAGTTTATACAAATACTGCTCACGTTTGGACATAGAGCAGTTTTTCTGCCACCTCCGCCCTACTGACCCCTTCTCCCGCTTCCAACACACCCCCTCCTCCTGGACACCACCCCAAGGCCTCCTACCCTCCCTCGACCTCTTCATCTCCAACTGCTGTCGAGACATCAATCGCCTCAACCTCTCCACCCCTCTCACCCACTCCAACCTCTCCCCCGCAGAACGTGCAGCCCTCCGCTCCCTCCGCTCCAATCCCAACTTCACCATAAAACCCGCGGACCAGGGAGGCGCAGTTGTAGTATGGCGCACTGA